ATTTCTTTACAGCTTGGCAAGTTGCTGATAGCCTTTATAGAAAAGAGAATCAAAGACAACTGAGTTGCTTCTTATTTTTGGTGGATTGTTAGATGAAAAAATAATCCCCAAGAGAGAAAACTATTCAAAAATATAGAGAAGTAAAGAACTAATGAGTTTTTTTTTAAAAAAAGCTATGGATAAAAGATGAATGCTTCAGGAATTTTATTAGGAACTCATGAATGTTCTCTAGAGATTGTGATTTTTGATGTAATATTATTTGATGTAATTCTAGTACGCTTTATGTGTAATAAGCCATAGTTTGGTTCACAGAAAGATTGTTTTTTAAATTATTTATTATCATTTTTATTCATTAAACATAAGAAAACATTTATTATTATTATTTAGAAAATCAAAACATAACCTATATTTATACCAATGATCTCCAAAGCCACTCCTGCACTTAGCCTCATAAAAACATATGATGAAAACATAAAAGCAGAGACAAAATAAAATGGACATTCCCAATAATATACCGTAGTACGAACAATAATGACAATTTACACTAGTGGTGCACTTCAAAAATGTTTACCCCCAGTTTGGTGGACGTGGCTAGATGGGTGCAATTTGTGCACATGCACATACTTTGTGCATGCATGCACCAAATGCGCACTTTATGCAGGCACAGAGGCTTTCTGACTCACCTTCTGCAATCCTGTACTCTCCCTGTCGCTTCAGCAGCTGCCGCGCTGCAATCTGCTGTGTTGCACAAAGCAGCTGTGCTTTAAAATGCAAGAACATGCAAGAACAGGCTACAGGCAGCAGTGTCACACATGCATGCAATGTTGCACATGCGTGATAAGGACTGATGTGCAGGCAGGAGAGAAGTATGCAGAGAGGGATGAGGCCAGCCAGAAGCCTGATTTACTGGTTCTCTGAATTACCAGGAACAGTAACATCCGGTTCTATAGAACTGGACCGAACTGGTAAAATCCCACCCCTGGAGGGAACCCATAAAACCCTATTGAAATACATTTACCATGGTTGTAAAAATATAGAGAAATAAGAAAAATCATAGCCTATCCCATTAATACCATCACTTTATTATTAATGGTATTATTAATACCATTAATACCATCTGCAGACTATTCAAATGTGGGCCCAGATCATGAGGAATGGGGAGAAGGAGAAAGAGATAGGGAGGAAGAGAGAGAAAGAAAGAGAGTGTGAGAGCGAGGGAGAGTGAGGGAGAAGGAAATTGGTGTGTAGAAGCTAGCGTAAAATTTGGCCTTAGCCATGAAAACCAGCAGGGTGACTTTGAGCCATTTTCTTTCTCTTAGCCAGAACTACCTCACAAGTTGTTGTGTTAGAAAATAGGAGGAGGAGGAAGTATCAGGCATGTTTGTTGAATTGAGTTACTTAAACAAAGTAAAAAGGCAGGGGAAAAAGATCTAACAATTAAATAAAATGTCATCTCTAACTATCTCCTCTTTCAGAATTCCTTTGACTTATTTAGTTCTAAACATTAAGATCACCACTCATTTTAACTTTGAATCCAGTCCTGAATAAACTAGGAAGTAAATCACCCTTCCACTTGGAACCAGACGTTCATGTGGATATCTGGCATTCCGCTGTGCTACAACTTTTTTTTTTTCTGTGACAAGATTTTTGTTTACCAAAAAGGTTTAGAAGCTTTGGTTTCTCTTATCTTACTTTACAGCCTTACTATAGCCGAGCAGAGACAGTCCCCACAGGTCTTCAAATGAGCGAAGCAAACGTTCAAGCCTAACAGTCCAAGAGATGTTGGAAAAGTGCTTAAGAGACTTAAATTACGGTATGTTGTAATTTACAGTGTTTTTATGTCATTATCATGTTGGACTCAGATTGGGTTTCATCTCACCCACTCAAGCCGTGTCTGGAGTTGGACGTGATGGTACCTGCAAGATCACATGAAATTTTAGTGTAATATTGATGCAGCTGCTGTAAACTAATTCTACCTATCCCCACTAGTTCTCATCTATCATGGATATGGCAATAGTAGCCCAGTTCTATAGCTTCATCTGGCTTTCTTATAACTGATCTTTGTGAGGTCATAGAGACTCCATCTAGATATTCTTTAGAATTACTTGTCATGGGCTCACTTCCCAGTAGAAGAATTCTGTGTCATTTGAGAATCATCATGATCTGAATAATGCATTCAGATGCCTCTCTCTTTTCATCGACTGTGCACTGTTTCTTTTTCATTGCTGTATTCAGGTAAATCTCCCAGACATGGGGCTTAATGTTTTTACTTGTATTCTTTAAAATATGGCATGGAATATTCATTTGCCAGATACATTTAGGCATCAAGAAAAGTGCATTTTCTATGAAGAAGTTTAATAATTATACTAATGTATAACCCAAAACATCAAAGGGGTAGTGCTTAATACTGATAGCTTGTCTAAGATAAAATTCATGATACAATCTGATATATTTAGCAATTTTGAAATTGGTGCAAATAATCTACTTTCTGCCCCAGCAAATCGGCCAGTATATTATTCCATGCATTGGAATATTATAACAAATAAACAGATCAAGAATAATTCAGATATTTCCTTTCCTTCTCAAAATTATATATTTTGAAGATTATGTTTTGAATATATTGATTACATATATATTGCTTTCATATTTTTAATGAATGTAGACTTTATTGCATTAGTGATTGTTCTTTGCTATATTTGATTCAAACTTTCTTTGTAAAGCAGCAAAATTATCTTGTCCCTTTTCCCCCCCCCCCCCCCCCCCCCACAGCAATAATGATGTGAGGTAGAATGCACTGACATAGAGAGTGACTGATCCAAAGAAATCAATTAAAAGCAATGAAATCAGGTTTGCCTCATGCTGGTTCAATAATCAAATACAGTATTTTTGCAGTGTTTCTTTCATAGCCTGAGATAAAATGGGTTATTGTTTTGTGGAGTGATTAAGGCAGTAGGTCATAAACAGGAGACAGCAAGTTTTACTTTTGCTTTAGGCTTAAAGTGACCTGAGGCCAGTCACTCTTTCTCAGCCCTAGGCAGGAGGCAATGACAATGACACTACTGAAATCTTGCCAAGAAAATTGTAGGGAATTATCCAGGCAGTTTCTACAAGTCTCACAAGAAGCCAAACTCTCTCACATAACAGGATAGATCACAACAATTTTGATATTAAAATTTCATTTTAAACTATACATAGGTGAGATCTGCAAAACTGACATGTCTCTGAAAGAGATGTCTTTGCCTTGACCCATGGCTGAAATTGTCTAGTGATGTAGACATATGTTGTTGTTGCTGCTGCTGCTGCTGCTGCTGCTATTATTATTATTATTATTATTATTATTATTATTATTATTATTATTATTATTATTATTATTATTATTATTATTGAAACATTTCATTGTAGAGAATTCCACAAAACAGTTTCTGTAGCAAAATGTGCTGCTAGATGTAAGGTGAATGTATCATTCTAAATAGTATCCTAGAGCAGTGGGCGCCAACCAGTGGGCCAGGTACCACTGGTGGCCCGTGAGAAAATTTTGGTGGTCCGCAGAGAAATGTCACCCCCCCCAAAGCACCCCCCAAGCAATTAATGTGGCTTGTGAAGGATGCGTATTTGTTATTTTTCTGATCATGATGTGCACTGAAGATGGTGTTTGGTTTCGTTGTACGAGGTGCAATGACAATAAAGTAAACTAACTAACTAATACAAGCTGCATGGAAACACAAGGCTGCATCGCTTGCATTGCAAACAACACAAGGTAGTGAGGGGTGGGGGAAATGGGCAGAGGGGGGGTGTTAAGTTTGGGAAAAGAGAGGCTGAACCAGAGCATGAGTGCAACAATACTTTATTATAACAATAAAGGGCTGACCGTGCTTGCCACGCCTGGAACTGGCTCGCAGCGATCAGCGACGGGTTGGACCCCGCAGCCTGCTTTTATAGCTGGCTGCTGGGGAGAACCAACCAATGGGTAAAGGGGAGAACGCCCCCGCAAAGTGAATGGACCTGAGTGAGAACTCCTAGAGTCCTCAGGACATAACACCCCTTCCCCCCAGATACGAACACGCATAGTCTTTGAGGTAGGCAGGAGGTTTATGTTGGCGCCCGGAACGGCGCAGCTCTGGAACGCTGACTGTCCGCTCAGAGTCTGTCTGGGACGGCAGAGCCGGATGAGTGTCACCAACGTGCCCTTCGGTTCGGGCAGGCCCGGGACTCGTAGGGTTGGTCACTGGGGACGTGCCCCCATAGACTGGATCGGGCTGGTCCACCATCTGGGTGCCGCTGTCCGTGCTCGGGTTTTCTGGACTGACTGTTGGTGTGTACTGGTCGCCGGGAAGGATGTGGATGTGGGGTTGATGCTGAGACCTCCCGTCGCTTTGTGATTCTGGGTCCCTGCTAGTGTGGGTGCTGAGGCGCCTACGCAACTGGTCCAGGTGCCTTCTCCAGACCCGGCCGTCCTCCAGTCTGACTCGATACGACCTTGGTCTGGTGATGGCCACGATTTCGCCTGGAATCCACAGGGGGTCACCAGCGAAGTTCCTCGCGAATACTGGCTCCTGTAAGATAAAATGTCTAACCCCCGATGTGGAAGCGAGGGGAGAATCAGGGCAGTATTTTGGATGAAGTCTGTCCAATACAGTCCTCAGACACCTGCCCATCAGGAGCTTAGCTGGGGACTTGTTGGTGACTGAACATGGAGTTGAATGCTGGCTCATCAGGAAACGCGAGAGTTTGTGGTGCCAGTCATCCTTACTGAACCTAGCCAGGGCCTCTTTAGTGGTCCTGACGGCCCTTTCAGCCAATCCGTTACTGGCAGGATGAAATGGGGCTGTGAAAATGTGGCGAATACCCAGGTTGGCAGCGAAACGGCTGAACTCGGTTGATGCGAACTGCAGGCCATTGTCGGAGACAATGGAGTCAGGTAGCCCGTGTGTAACAAACAGGCATGTTAATACGTTGGTGATTGCTTGTGTAGTGGTCGTGGATAGCTGTGCAACATCAATCCATTTAGAATAGGCGTCCACGACCACTAGGAACATCTTCCCATGCAAGGGGCCGGCCAGGTCGATGTGAATTCTGGACCACGGAGCGCTGGCGCTCTCCCATTTAGTAGGGGTGGCAAAAGGAGGAGCTGGACGGGATTCCTGGCAGGGGTTGCAGGAGCTTACCCATCTAGCGATGTCCTCGTCAAGGCCCGGCCACCATACGTAGCTGCGTGCTAATGCCTTCATTCTCACGATGCCAGGGTGTCCCTCGTGCAACGCCTCCAGGACTCGGGTACGCAGTAAAGTCGGGATGACCACTCGAGTGCCCCACAGTAGACAGCCCTGCAAACTGGACAGTTCCTGCATGCGGGTCTTGAAAGGTGAGAATTTATTTTCAACATTGCCACCCGGCCACCCCCTCCTCACCCAGTCGAGCACCTGGGCGAGCGTTTTGTCTGCCTTGGTTTTAGCAGCAATGTCAAGGGCAGTGATGGGGAGGTCCAATTGTGTTACCTCGAAAATAGCGTGGACAGGAGCAGGGTCTTCAGCTGGGACCGGCAAGGGACAGCGGCTGAGAGCGTCAGCGTGGGACAATGTTTTACCTGGCCGGTGTATGAGTCTGTAGGAGTAGGCTGCTAGGAAGAGGGTCCATCTTGTCATCCTAGGGGAAAGGACTTGAGGGGTCTGTTTGTCCCCAGCTAGTAGACCCAGGAGGGGCTTGTGGTCTGTGACCAGCTCGAAAAAATGGCCAAAAAGAAATTCGTGAAATTTTTTCACTGCTGCAACAGCTGCTAGAGCTTCCTTATCGATCTGGCTGTAATTACGCTCTGTTGCGGAGAGCGTTCTGGAGAAAAAGGCAATGGGAGCCTCGGTGCCATTGGGAAGCCTGTGGCTTAATACTGCCCCGATTCCAAAGGGGGATGCGTCTGCTGCCAGCACTAAAGGGAGGTTGGGGTCGAATTGAATAAGTACCGCCTCTGACGTGAGTAGTGATTTCACGGCGTGAAAAGCATGGTCTTCTTTGTGCCCCCAGTGCCAAGGTGACTTTTTATCCAGTAATTTGTGTAGGGGTTCAGCTACTGATGCTTTATGGGGCAAGAAAGACGCGTAAAAGTTCAATAGCCCCAAGAAGGCCTGTAGTTCAGTTTTGGAGGTTGGAGTGGGTGCCTCGTGAATTGCCTTAACCTTGGACTCCAGGGGGTGAATGCCTGAGGCGTCAATTTTATAACCCAGAAAGTCCACCTGTCTAGTGGCAATGGCGCATTTTTCTTTTTTCAATTTGAGGCCATGCTGTCTGAACCTCTCTAACACTGCTCGAACTCTCTGGAAGAGTTGGGGTCTGTCCCTGGCCGAGACCAAGATGTCGTCGAAGTAGGGTACTACTCCAGGGAGGCCCTGTAAAATCCGCTCCATGAGGGATTGAAAGATACCTGGGGCAACACTTACGCCAAATTGGAGACGCTTGCATCTGAAAGCACCCCTGTGAGTGACAATGGTCTGGAGTTCCGCTGTTTGGCTGTCAACAGGGAACTGTTGATACACTTGAGACATGTCCAATTTGGCAAAAATGCTGCCAGGTTCAAAAGTGTGTAATAAATGCTGAATGACGGGCACTGGGTAAGCGCTAACTTGTAGAAACTTATTGATTGTGGTCTTGTAGTCCGAGCAAATTCTCAGGCTACCGTCTTTTTTGAGGGGTGTGACAATGGGCGTCTCCCATTTGGCGAAATCTGTTGGCTCAATGACCCCTTGTTTTAATAGTTTATCCAATTCAGCATCTAGTTTTGGCCGAATAGCGAATGGGACCCTACGCGGTTTTAGCCTGATTGGGACTGCCTGGGGGTCGACTGAGAATGATATTGGGGTACCGTTATAACACCCCAGCTCATCGCTGAATACATCTGAGTAATCAGCGAATAAGGAGTCAGTGTCTGAGGTTGAGACAGCATGGACTCCTGTTAGCCCTAGGCCGAGATGGGGAAACCAATCGAGCCCCAATAAGGTAGGGAGATTGCCGTTAACTACCACTAGAGGTAGGTGACCTTTAAAAGCTTTAAAACTGACAAGGAACTTGCCTCTGCCGATTACAGGAATGGTCCTCCCCTGGTAGTCCTTCAGGCTAAACTGGCACTTCTGGAGCCGGCTAGTTGATAGGCTGGGCCGGAGCCTCTTGAGGGTGTTCCACGAGATAATTGAGAGCGCTGACCCTGTGTCAACCTCCATGCGGCACGGTTTACCTTCTAAGTAAACAGAGAGAGAGATTTTACTAACAGTGTGGCAAGTGTGCTTGGCACGGTGATGTGCGCGACAGTTCAATACTTGCCTCTGCGGCCCCAAGTATGAGACGGGGGGGTGCCTTTGTGTTGAGCTTTGAGGGGCTTGGCAGACTCTCGCGATGTGCCCCCTTTTATGGCAGTTATTCCAGGTGGCTCCTTTAAACTTGCAGGTGGCCCTCAGATGAGATCCACCACAGGCTAGGCACAGGGTGATGTGCTTGGGTGGACCGATGTTTTCTTGTTTGGGTCCTACCTGCAGCCGTCTGTTGTTGGAGAGGCAGTGGACATCGTTTTCATCACTCAGGGATTCCTCTGCTACCACCTCCTCGGAGTGGACTGGAATTGATGTCAGCTTGGCAGTCGGGCCATGGATTTCGGTGGCTGAGTGCTCTGCCAATTCTGCTGCTAAGGCCTCCTCGACTGCTTGTGCGAGATTGAGGTCTTTTTTCGTGAGGAGGCGCCTTTGAAGGTGTAGGTCCTTGACCCCGCAGACTAGTTGATCGAGGAGCATGTCCTCCAGGTAGGTTCCAAACCCACAATGCAATGCTGCTGTTCTGAGAGCGGCCATATACTGATTAATGGTTTCCTTGTCCGCTTGCTTCCT